CGTTGTCTTGTTCAAATACAGCTATTTACTTGAATTTTTGCACTTTTTGCACTATTACGAACATCACCTAAAACAATTGTCCTGTCCAATGCTTACTAACTCTAAACAACTTCACAGTGGTGTTTCAAGCCTCGAAGTTAAGGTGCTAACAGTCATGCATGAAAAAGTTTCTGTGAAAAGGTTTAATACAGTGCTGTTACCTGAATATTTTAAATGAGTAAGATTGTAAAGGGCTAACGTATACACATTTTCTGCCCAAGATCGGTTCTGCGCAGATGCTATGCTTCCATACTGAACTTATCAGGTCGTCCAACTGGCACTCCAACTTAGAGTCTTGCTATCCTTCAAAATCTATCCCCATCTGGGTCTAGTCAGCTAGTTTCCGCCCGTAAGCTCGCTGGCACTCAAAGCGTCAAAAATAATTTTGGAGGATGCAAGATTCTAAAGTCATTTTTTTTCAAGGCAGTACCGCGTACTCTCGTCAATATTTGTCAAATGACTATCGTTATATCTTAGTGGGCCTTAGATTTCCGTTCGCCTATACGTTCACCGTTTTTCTACCTAAAGACTTAGACAAGCTGATATCATGTTTTGTTCGACGTGTTTGAGTTTTTTCACTTTGTTTATTGATGCACCCTGAGTGTATTGATAAATAAAATTTTATTAAATATTTTATTACTTTATAAACAAAATAAAATAAATTGAGATAAAATAAGATAAAATAAAGAATATATAGAATTACTTTACTTTACTTATACACTCACAAGTGCAACAAAAAAGAAAAAGAGACAGCAAAATACATTACAGGTGTATCTGAGGCAAGAATATTGAGTTGACGGATGCCTAACGTGGACCATCTAGTCTCGAACGCTCACCTAGAGTGCATACGTAAACATATACATAAACATAAACATAATAGACAAAAACTGAGATTGTCGTGGGCAAGCTGCATTTATGTCTCAAGCAGTCACCAAGCAGTTTTTCATTGTTCGATGCAAGTTCTCTTATCGGAAATCATTTTTTCGCCAGAATTGTATGATTTACAACGATGGACATTGTCGTGGGTTCACGAACAAATTGCAGCCATTGCCTTGACAACAGCATGTTATTAAGCGACTGCTTTGTTCCATTGCGAACATCTGTCCGTTCTGTTTACATCGCTAAGAACAGACGTTGTAAGGAGACAAAGGTGGTGTATAGCAATTTTATTTGTTCATAAACTCGTCCAAACAACAAAAACTGTACTCTAAAAAATTACTTGTTTGTTCAACTTTCGACCCAGCATCATTTCCTCTTCCGCGTTTGCATGTCGGCTACAGTATGACGCGTTGTGTTGCAGAGGTGCAACCGCCCACGGTAGTGTGAAATGTTTTGGTAATTACGGTAACATAATAATGCGGAACTTCACGTGAGTAAACAGTAATTTCTGAAATCAGATCGCGTTGAGCTCAAAATGATAGCGTATACGAGAATCACGGCTTACTGTTGAAAACCGCTCGTAATTTTTGAAAAAATCACCGAACTCCGCCGGAGTTCGCCGAACTTTGGTTTTTTTTATATCTTGCTCCGGAGTGGACGAAATTCGAATCTAAAAGCACCATTCAACTCAGCTCGACGAGATGCATCTTTTTATCTATGAAAGTGCCTATTTGAGTCGGTAAAAGTCTGTGAAAGGGTGAAAGTGTCGGTGAAAGTGCCTATTTGAGTCCGATAGTCGGTCAAAATTCAAGGACCCTTCCAGATTCTTGCTCGCGGTAGGTTACTCAGAGTGCTAAATCACAATGACCTATCTCCAAGACAAAAATTTGGAAGGCTCCTTAAATTTTGAGACTGTCGTGCTTAAAACAGGCATTTCTATATATCTTAGTGGGCATCTCGTCGATCTAAGATGAGTGGTGTCTTTAGATTCAGATTTCGTCTATTCCGAAGCAAGATATGCGGCGGACGGCAATTTTTTTCACAAATTACGAACGGTATTGTACTTACTTAGAAAATTTAGAATTTAGGATGTTTCATGGGAAAATGTTGCCATTCATCTTGACTTTCTATTTGTAAACTTGGTGTTCTTTCATAAAATAAGTACAACTGTACAAAAGCTCTGAAAGAATTATTAAAGCGAATATGACGCTTATTCCAAACCTCGTCGTCGTACGATAGGGTTACGGTAGTCATAAAGTAATAGGTTGGAACCAAGAATTGTGGAAGCTCGCTCTTTAGGTTGTCTTAGGTGATTGCAAATGTTATACACTTTATGCATTTTAAACTTAATAAGTAGTAATTCTCAAAAATGGCAACAATATGAAAGTTTGAGTTCCTGCTTTCCCACTTACGGTATTATCCTAATCCTTCTGTAGGAAGCAAGTGAACTGCTATAAATGGACTTTCTTCTTTATATTTCCATTCAGATATTTCGTGAAATCCTACCGTAAGCCAGCTAGGCCGCAGCTTAAGCAAAAAACCAATCTCGTATGATTTCATTGTAAGAAGTGTGTTGCTTCTGAAAGCAGGTAACAAGGGAAGGGAAGGAAGGGGAGGGGGGGGGGAAGAGGAGAGGAAAAGAAAATGACTAAAGCGGAGGATGCACTTAGACAGAATTCCTTCAAAATGATTCCAGCGTTTTCTGCATTCTTTCGCATTTGAAATCGTTTCTCCGGCGTTGTCAAATTCAAACCATGTGCTTTTTTTACCATATGCAACGTCTAGACCCATAATCACCCAATAACTAACTATAATGTTCCCCACAAACGTCTTCCCCATTCCTATCCCGCTTATCTCTGACTTACAGTTCACTTGCATCTTTCGCCAGTACAAAGTCCACTCTGTCTGCGCATGCTTCGAACACGTGGTGATACGGCGCATCGCTTACTGTAAGTCATTAGTGTAACGGGAAAAAAGTTCTCTCACTTCGTTACACTTAGGTACAAGGTTGTATCACTTTTTGCATAGGACATCTCGACACTTCCTTGATCACAAGGTTGTAGTCACAATTTCAAACCATGACAATGACTAAGAAGGATTGCAGGAAGTGCAAGGAAGTTCTAATCTACTGCAAATGAAAATAAAGGACAGAAGTAAGAGCAGCAAACCTCTTTTCCAGATTACTTGCTACTAATGTGCAGTAAACAAAGCAAGTGAGAAATAATTCGAAAGATCATATTTGGCTGTTAGATAACGGTGCAGTCGAGTCGTTCAGCGAATTCCTTTTTTTATAGCGATTGCCCACTCGTTGTGTAGATAACTGAGTTGGTAAAAGACATACAGGAAACAAGCTCAGGAAGAGCATCTACTACTTTATGGAATGCACTTTCACATATTTCATATATATTTGATATAGAGTTTGCCTCAAACCCTATGCCCTTAGATTGCGGATAAGAAATCGCTCTTCTTTGAGGTCTTTGGTTCGTCTACAAATCAGTCTTGCAGAGATGACTTTATCATAGTTTTCAAACAAAGAACAAATTACCGATCTCTCTTTTTTACAGTACGTATACGGTAGAAACTTCTAGCATACACCGCCATTGTGATTGAACTTTTTTCCCGGTAGATTTTCAAAATTTGAGAAGTTTTGTAGTCAGCTGAGCTTCACGCTTATTTCTATTCACGGTTAACGAGCTTGTAAACCCTTGCTAATGGTGTGATCAATTCTGATGAAAAGTTACCGCCGTATAACTGTCGTAACTTATGAAAGGGCTACGGTAGGTGAAATTTCACTTTTATACACAATGACTCTACTTAACTTAGTGTGAAGTGGTTGTTTATTTCCCTTCCTTCATAAGCCATAATATGACTCTCAATCACTCAGACCTCCCTCGCAGTGAAGTTCCTACCGTAATCCTATATCGAAAGTGATCGGTGATTATTGATGTTTGTAAATCTAAGAATTCATCTCTACAAAATCATACCCATAGGTTCCAAAGACCTCGAGGCAAAAGAGTTACTACGTTCTTTGATGGGCACATACTTTTGGTATGGATGAGAATCAGAAAGTGGGAGAGCTTGCCTGTTCGAGGAGTGGTGCTACTTCTAATATATTCAGCATTGGAAGCATCGGGGATGAGTGCGGTTTCTGGACTGCGAACGCCCTCTAGGCCCAAAATTTATTCTCTTTTACACTAACTAAAATGAAAGACTATTCAGACAAATGCAATTTGCCTGAAACACGCGATTTTATTTTGAAATTCATCTCATGAAAGTACTTAATCAAGTTGAACATTTTGAGCAATTATCTCGCTAGTTTTACAGTATTCAAAAGTTCTCAAAGTGGCGGACAGAGTTATTATGAAGCATTTCTACTGTAGGATTACTTCAAAAAGAAATGCTTTCAAATACGCGCTGCTTTATGCCCTCATTCCCAAAGAACTTCACTGACAACATCAACAGACTGGTGACTGATACATATCTTCTTTATCGTGGCTATAACCACGCGTTGTCGAGCAAATTGGATTCATAGAAAAGATTACGAAGTTGGAAGAATTCTTTGTTCTACTTTAGGAAAGAAAGTAGAACCAGTGTGTGATTTGTATAAAGCTATGCTCCGTTCTAGGTCTCGCAACGCAATATCTCATCACTCTGTTTTCAAATACTAAAAACAACATTGCTATCGCTATTTTCGCTCACAATTGTTTCTCGTCGACTGAGGCTATGCGATCTATGCAAAACTGTTCTTGGGTGTGGTATCACACTGACGTAAATTTCCCCTTTGAGCTCATAAACAACCCCTGTCAAGCGCTCATCTCCTTATGGCAAAGATCTCTTTTCATACAACTCGTTTATTTGCTCAAAAATTGCTAATACCGGTCATAAGGATGGCAAGCGAAATTGAATATGACACTAGAAATAACAAGAACAATTGTAAGATCCTAGAGCACAATAGGAGGTACATGAGGGACAAGTAATGGTGGTAAGATAGTGCATGAACAATGACTAGGCTCCATATGTGGAGTAGCGTAGACCAGTTTTAATCGTTTCCGTAAGCTGAGAGATCCTTCATGAGTACTCAATCAAGCGGTAATGTGCATGGGGCGCATATCTTTCTGAAAATCAGGAAATAAGCAGATATATTTAATATCTGGAAAGGTTTGGCACCTACCTTTGAATCAGAGATATACTTATTGCAATGAGTTTGTTCGTGTTCTGGCAATGAGCCAATTTTGAACTTTTCGGCAAGCATTCGAGCAACAATTGAATGGCCAACGCTTTCAAATGCATCGGTGGCATCGCTACCGATCTGAAAGCCGAGACATAAAGATTACGGTAACTTCACTTTGACTGCTACAGTACTGCCCATACTAGCGTATCCCATAAACCAGTGAAAAACTTACATATTCAAGCATAATTTCCATACCACCGGGATGTTCGTCAAAGAAGCTAGTAACATCAAGTACATCGTTACGGATAATCATCCATGCGTCGTCAGGAGTGCAATGCTGTGAAACTTCACATCGTGGGATTTCCTTACAGGTCATATCTGAAACAATAGCATACTTTTTAAATAATAATTCCGAAAAAGGCAGGTAAGCGGAAGATAGGATTAAGGTTTAGGAAGCTTTCCACGCAAAAAATTAAGAAGAAGTCGGGCGGAGCTTCAGCAGAGGTTAGAAATTACGCAAAAGTTTTGCAGAAGTTCTGCAAAGGTCCCGCAGGACCTGCGAAAAACTTTTCTGATATTGGCTACATTATAGCTAAAAAACACCAAGACGTAAGTGGACGGGACAAGATGCCAGATTTGGTTACGGTAAGATTGTACTGAAGTTACCGCATTGCATAGAACAAAGATTTTCATATTTCTCGCAAAAATGGTGAGCGGAAGTTCCGCAGAGCTTCTCCAAGAGTATTATGCAGCAGTCCTGCAAAAGTTCCGCAAAACTTCAACACCTTTTAAATTGGCTATATTACCTCTAACAATAAGAAACACCAAAAGTAAGTGGACACGCTACAGGATGCTTGATTTGGGCATGGTAAAATGGCGCAAAAGTTGACGCTTTGCTTGGGATGAAGAATTCCAGATGTTTTTTTACAGAAAAAGTAAGGCGGGAGCTCGCACAGCTTTCGTAAGGCCTACGGTCGCCCGCAAAAGTTCCGCAGGACCTTCAATTATCATTTCTTAACAGATTGGCTATATTACAGCTAAAAATTCTAGCAGAGTTCAATCAAAGCTTGTTTAGGTTGTCTATCGATATATGCGAACGAAGTGGCCTTCGTAAAGCGCCGTCTTTCCCTTCTAGGGTTGGCGATGAACCCGTTTTGTAACACGAGGATACCATAGGAAACACGTGAGATACAAGCGGCAGGGGGAAACAGATCAACAAATTTTTGAGTCGAGAAATTAAGATGAGGACTAGCCTATTGGCTAGATTGCTTTGCTCCTTTACCTTCACATCCAATAAGGAAGTGCTAGGATATGTGCCGTGGGATCGCGGTAGACGTGCTTTTGAGCTTTATATACCCTCAAAGACGAAAAGAATGTCAGACGAACGACGCAGGAACTCGTCCGAGATAGTGTTGGTAAACAGGACGCATAGAACGAATGATAAGCGAACGAAGGGAGGGGGTGTTTACTGCGCAATGCACCCGAAGAATGCGCGCTTCATAGAGATTGCTTGCACCCACGACGAACTGCGAATCGGTGCAAATTCTTTACGAAACGCGGGAAAATTTGAGCGAGCGCCTACGGCAACGGTTCATCACTGACTAGAAGGCTTCCTACCCAACATGGGCAGCCCTTCGAGCACGAGATCAGGCTAAAAGTGCTGTATAGCATCGTATTCACGTGAATTCAATCAACGATGCACGCAAATCGGTGCGATGGTGCGCTCGCGATTGGTTACGCTGATTGATGACCGCGGCTGATCTGCGGCGACAGTGTGTGTACGCGCGCGGTTGACGGTGGTGAAGGCACACACGAACTTCAGCGCATACCAAATCTCATTTCTATGGTCAGAACTGAGAGCTAAAATGAAGATTTAGCTCGATTGGTGCTAAAGATGATTTTTCGGCCAAAGGTGTCCATTTAATACTGAGCACTCAATTATTTAGAGACCAATGAACTTGCTATTTACCGATAAAAAGGCTGAGAGCCCAATAAAGCTCTAGCTCGCTACAGGCGCCAAGTCGAAAATGAATTTATCTTCGCGCACGAAGTACTTGTTTTCTCTTGATAATCTCATGTATACTTTCCTACTATTTTAGAAGATATGTTAATGACAATAGCAGTTTCCACTTCTCAGTCTCAATGTAGAGAGTTTTTTTCCAAAATATGCCAATAAGTGAAAATTTTCTGGTATCAAGATTCTAACGTTTATGATTTTTTCCTGCAAATGTGACAAGACAAAGTTGCTGTTCTGCCCCACAAGGTGTGCACTGTACAAAATCACAAACTCCTCTTTCATTATATTCCTCTGTTTGAGTTTGAAGTGTAAATAATAAGGTACCACAGCAACGCTAAAAGAAATTTTATTGGCATAGACAGTGATAGAGATTTATGAAGGAAAATTTCAAAGCGCACTTGCTTCGGAGAATTTGATCTTAGAAATATGGGTTTAATATCATCTGATTTCGCTTTGTTTTGATAATTTGATTTAATTTCCTGACTCTACCCGATAGTTATGATTTTGTAATTTTTATTGTAATTTTAAATTTGTCTTATCATATTACTTTTATGTGAACCATTGATGAGTATTATCTAACTCCAAGCATTTCGAACATTTTTTACGGCTTTTCACAAATTTTCGTTGAAAACCGTAGAGCAGCGGCATTCATGGAAGATTATTTGATTTTAACCATTGAAAAGCTCTTGTAATGAGACTATTTGCCAAATTCAATCAATTTTTTTTTACAAAGACTGAAGCTGAGTATTAAGAATCCAGTAGGATCCATGTGACTGTTGTGCTGATGCCTGATTTATTTCATAAAACTGTTTCACAACCAAAGCAGGCATTTGAACATGATTGCTTCGACCAAATTATGTTGAGAGCGAAGCAATTCTTCTCTCAAATTTCCCATAAATGATCAACAAAGACAATCTTTCCCAAGCTTTGAAAGAGCAAAGGTCTTGCGCCGTGAAATTCACCGCAGGCTAGTTTTCGAAAATCTTGTTCTGGTTTTGGTTCTCGTGTCTTGAACAGGCTGAGAGACAGGCGCGTTTCATGGGAATCCCCTTTGATGTGGAATTACGATGTTTGAAAAGGGCAAAGGGGGTACAATCCTATATAATTTACGGCAGACATGTTACTTACTGCAGTTATACATTGAAAACAACGAGTGGTAAACTATTTGTCATAAAAATAGCGTTCTTTAATCTTTTGAACTCTAAAGTATCACAAAAAAATCTTTTTGGAATTTTATAAAACTCGTTCGACTGCTAAAAACTCTGTGCAAATAGTGCATACTCTGCTAAAATTACATTTTTCTCACGTGCTTTCTTCTGCATGGCAGAAAAAGTGACCGTACAGTGAATGATAGCATTTTTGTTATGTCAAAGTATGTCCATGATATTAACACGTGTTTCCCATGCGTACAAAGTTTTCTTCTCTTTGTAGTGTTGTTTACCGCATTCCCAAAGTGTACGCTTTAGCACATGACCGTAACGTATGTAAGGTCGTTTGAAGATTTAAGGAAGCCTTTGTTGTTTTCTCAAAGTGAGGAACTGACCTTGAGAATCAGCTTTCAGCGATGGAATTTCAAAAATTCTTGTACCAGAATCGTACCTTTTATGTTTTCTGGCATTCAACTTAGGTCTCATGATGTGATCCTTTGTGACGAAAACAAGCAAGGCCACCACATCTTTAAGAGAATGTTTTTTCATCAAGCTCATGAAATTGGGAACAAACTTTGCTACACGTCTGAGAAATAAGTGCGATGTGAGGCTTTTTTTGCTCTTTGATAATAGACCTGCGGAAGTTTTCGCACATCCTTCTTTTGTCTAAAAACATCAAAAATCGTAGAAATTGATAAGAGCTATAGGATGAGACCTACCTTTTTCACCCGGTATTGGACCCTTCCTACGGATCGCTTACTGCTCTATATTGAACAAATCAAGTTACATATGTACGGTGAAGCTTACTTCTCTCTTCAACGTCTCACATTGAAACCTCGGCTAATTCTAGTCCGGACCCACTATGTCACCTAAGGAGCCTCAATTTCAAACCGTCAGAACAGTCAAGCGTTAAGCCCGAAAAGCCAGAGTAATCTGCCATATCCGGATCCACTTGTGGACAAGCAGACGTAATGAAACTTTTTCGACGTAGACGATTTGGGTGGTTCCACTGCTAATTTTTTTCGGTTGCCTAATAACAGCTAATGAATGTAGAAAGTCTGATAGAATGAATAAGACATACGCAGGTCCACCCATCAGCTAAACTGTCAATGAGCAGCAGCTTGGGAATTTTTTCACTGTCATTTTCATTGTTAACTTTGATGAAAATCTATCATTTCTTGATCATTTTGCTCCCATCGACACTAGAAGGCAGAAATAACTTTTTAAAACTGCCAAGAGAGCGATTGCGACTAAACGTCTCGTTCTTTTACAACATTACTGTCACTTATGCTTGCGAGCAAAACAAATCTCCTTACTTGTTCAAAGTTGGTAAATATGTAGGAAAATCACATTATGGTGTATGCAGGGCTTTTTGATGTAGCGTATGATGTTTTTTCATAGTAAGGTTTGTGACATAACCATCTTCTTTATCTGATAAAGCATCTTGCCATTGATCAATCGTAGAAACTAGGTATTAAGCTCGACAATCTGCAGTATGTTGTGAAAAGAAAAGAAAATTACGCTGTTTAAGTGGATCAAGAACTCCACAGTTGAAAGCCCATGAAACTATATCGAGAATTTGAAAAGGTATCGAGAGTGCAGCCAGCTTGGCTATTCATTCAGATTCTTCCAACGAAAATAAAAGAGAAGATCAGTTGATTATATTACAAACACAAAAAATATCGCCATTTACTTTTAGAGAATCACGAACTAAAGCCGTGTAATTCTACCTCATTACTAAATTGAAATGTATTAGGCGGTCCCACGAGGAAACCTTTTTGCAAATAAATCAGTGTGTTTTAGTTACTTCTAGCTGGCGACGGCGACAAAGTTTGGTAGAGCAAAGTAAGCTCTGCAAAATGACCAGCGGAAATCCATCTACGTCTTACATCGTATAGAATTTGAAGCAGTCGAAGTCTTATTTTTATCACCCGAAAATCGGATTGCCGCAAAAAATCCCACAAAGTTCCGAGTCCGATTCGCCATACAGTAGATTATTGGAGTAATCATAAACGCATCTTAATTTTCGCGCACAGAAACTGAGATTCAAATAATCCGAAAATGGCATACTCCGCCCCCAACTCCTCCCAAATAATACGTAGTTGCATACTGCGAGCCTCAGTAAGTATAATCATGAAATGCTATCTCTGTATAGCTCTTGTCACTGAGAAATATGAAGTTCAGTATGAAAAACCCGAAAACTTGCAATTT